GCCGTCTTGAACGCTGCGAAGACCCAGAAAACGGATATGCTGAAATATAATTTTCCTTGGGGAATGGGACGAAATGTGTTTCTTCGGGGCTGCGTTAACGGCCTCTTGGGGCGTCTTGGGGGCCTCTTGGGCCGTCTTCAGACCATCGAGGTTCCTCTTGGAGCGCTCTTGTGCCATCTTGGGTCTCTCTTTTGCGCCTCTCCGATGACCCCCCTGATCGCCTTGAGTCTGCTCGCAAGGCCCGGCAAGGCGCCCTGGGAGGCCCGGAAAGGCCAGCAGACCTTTTCCTACGGCGTCCAGGGGGATGCCAAGACGTCCAAAAATGCGTCCGGGGCGTCCCCGGGAGGGAGGTCTGGTTTAGGGGGGGGGCGGTTCCGGGTAATGAAAATATAAGAATGGAAATATGCTCGCTCCCCCCCTGCGATCATACCATTTGCCTTGGCTTCGATGCTTTCCATTTCTTTATCACTCCGTCCTCCCCCTCATCTGCTCCCCGCTCTCCGTCACTCCCCCTCATCCTCTAATCCTCCTTCAGCGGGGCAGTGCAACATCGGGCTGGGGGCGGCGGGGCAACGCAAGGCTTCTTATTTTTCCCTCGCGCTGGATCCAAGCCCCTCCCTATCCTCAGGAAGGAGATGACAAAGAGGAGGAGCGGGAGGAGGAAAAGGAATAACTATATAATATACGTGAGGAGGAAGCGGAGCTAAATAAGACGAGTGCGATCTCGACGATGACGATGATGATGACGATGATGCCGGTGACGATGACGATGATGATGATAAGGATGAGAAAGAAAATCCCTTTTTTATAAAGATGACGTACTAAGGAATCCTTGGTAAAAGGTCCTGAATCCTTCATGAGATATCTGTACTAAAAACCCTCAGCAAGGAATCGTTGCCAAGGAATCCGGACTAAGAAATCTTACAACGGGATCCTTAGCAAAGAATATTTACAGAGGGAATCTCAACAGGGACCCTTATCTGAGAAACCCAAGAAAAAGAATCTCAAACAAGGAACCCTTGATAAGGAATCTTAAACCAAGGAACCCTGGCAAAGGAATCTTGAATAAAGAATCCCTGATAATGACTCCAATGTACCGAATCTGTCAAAAGGAATCGTCGACGTATCCTTCGCACGGAATCCGAAGGGATTTGTATCAAGGGATCTTTACTAAAGAATCTGTACTACGGTAATATTAACAAGGGATCCTTCCTAAGGAAACCTGAATGAATGATCTTTACTACGCATTCCCGGAGAAAGAATCTGAACTAAGGAATCCTTAATAAGGAACCTTTTTTAAATAGATAATCCTGAGTAAGGAATCTGGACTAAGAAATCCTTGGGAAGAAATATGCAGTATGGAATCCCTAGCGAAGGGTAGTTAGCAAGGAACCATGAATAAAGAATATGCACTCAGAAATCCTGAACAAGGAACCTTGAAATACGGATCCTCCATAACGGAGCAAAGCTAAGGAATCGTGAATGAGGAATCCGTAATAAGAAACACTCTGGACGGAGTACTCAATAAGGAATGCTTCATAGAGAATCTTGCTTAAGGCGCCCTTGATTAAAACTCCTTAATAAGGAATCTGTCCTCCAGAATCCGTCGTGCGGAATTCTTTGGACGAAATATAAATTAAGAAGCCCTAAGGAAGGAGTCCCTCATAAGGAATAGCTATTAAGGAATATGGGGTCCTTAACAAAGAAAATCTACTTGAATCATATTACTAACGAGTCCGATGTAAGGAGTTTGTAATAGAGAGTCGCTACGGGATCGTGAACAAGGAATCTCAACTAAGGAGCCCGTACCACGGAATCTGTATGATGGAACCCTTACTGCACAATTTGTGTCAAAGAATCCTTACGAAGGAATCTGACGAATGAGCAATGCATGCGGAATCTGTACGCAGGAGTCCTTAATGGCCAGGCGTCCTCACCCGCAGGCTCAGAGCGAAGTGCTGCGAGGGAGGCCAGGGCGAGCACTGAGGCCTGCGAGACCAAAAGAAATGTTGCGTGGTTTCACAAGCCATTCAAAAAATGTGCTTCATTACACCAAGGGCGCCAACTACTATGTATAGTTGGTTTGTTTGGTTGTTTGGGTCTGGGATGCAAGGAACCACTATGTGTGTTTTTGGCTTGTGCAGGCTCAGAAAGAAGTGTTGCGAGGGAAGCCGTGGCGAGTACTGGAGTTCCCCAAGAAACAAAACATGCTTCGTGGTTTTACAAACCCAAGCACAGTGTCTCCTTGCAAAAAGGGCGCCATCTACAGCGTTTTTCCCTTTCTTGTGCTTTGCAGGCTCAGAGAGAAGTGCTGCGAGGGAGACCGCGGCGAGCACCGGGGCCTGCAAACAACAACCCAAAAATGCTTCGCGGTTTCATAAACCAAACAAGCCACAACAAACAAACATACACAGTATTTCCTTGACCTGACGGCGCCAACTGCTATGTATGTTTGGTTGTTTGGTTTAATATAATATGGGATGCAAGGAAACATTGTATATTGTTGTTTTTGGTTTTGCAGGCTCAGATATAAGTGATGCGAGTGAGGCCGCGGCACGCACTGGAGTATGCAAAACCCCAACCAAAAACTGCTTCGTGGCTTCACAAGCCCCAAAAAGACCAAACCAACAAAAATGCACAGTGTTTCTTTGCACCAAGGGTGCCAACTACTGTGTCTGTTTGCTCTGAGGGGTTTTGCAGGCTCATAGAGAAGTGCTGCGAGGGAGGCCGCGGCGAGACCCCCCCCGGAAAAACAAATGTTTAGTGGCTTCACAAGCCAAGCAAACTACAAACACAAACAGTGCTTCCTTGCACTGACGGCGCCAAGCGCTGTCTGGTTTGGGCTTTGTATTGTTACAAAGAGAAAGGGAGGAGAAGGAGGAGGACGAGGAGGAGGAAAAGGACGAGGAGGCGGAGGATGAGGAGGAGCAGGAGGAGCAGGAGGACGAGGAGGAGGAGGAGGAGAGGGTGAAGGAAAAGAAGAGAAAGGAAAACGATGAAGAAGCAGAAAAGCAGAGAGAGAGGTATTATCACAGTGGCGGGCGACCAAACATATCTATACATATATATATATATGTATATCTAGAATCCGGTGCGCATATATACATCAAAATCTACAGATGCATAGGTGCTGATGTATGTATACCCATGCATTCACATGTTCACAATTTGTTTATGTGCATTTACTCAGCATGTGCATGGTATCATTACGTTCGCATTTAATGGCATCAACTCGCCACACTGGTTTTCGTAACCGCATTGCGAGAACATCACGCGTCATACAAAAAGAAACATACTTTCAATAGACCAACGTATCCATGAAACGTGTAAGGGGTGTGCAGGCAAGGGTGGGGGGACGCATGCGAACGGTGCCGCTGTGACATTCGGTGAGGCTCCCCATGGGACCATGAAACGTGTGAGTAGTGTGCCAAAATGGGTGGCGGGGCCGCATGCGGACGGTGCCACTGGGACCCTCGGTGGGGCTTCCTATGGGACCACGATGCGTGTGAGCGGCGTGCTGAAATGGATGGCGAGGACGCATGCGGACGGTGCCACTGGGACCTTCGGTGGAGCTCCCTATGGGGCCACGAAACGCGTGAGGGGTATGCCGAAATGAGTGCGGCGGGCGCATGCGAACGCAGCCACTGAGGCCTTCGATGGAGCTGTATATGGGATGTGGCAGGAGCGGGGGGAGGAGGCGGAAGGAGGGACGTGGGGTGCTATCCCTTCAAAACGAAGACCCAACACCACAGGACGGCTTGGAATTAGCCTGGCGAAGGACCCAACCATAGGTAATACTGCAGTTGTGGGTATCGTTTTCGGTGGAGCTCCCTATGGACCGCGAAACGCTGTACTGTGTGGGGGGGACGCGTGCGAACTTTGCCATTGGGGCCTTCGGTGGAGCTTCCAATGGCGCCACGAAGCGCTGTACTGGGTGGGGGGGACGCATGCGGGCGGTAGCACTGAGGTCTTCGGTGGAGCTCCCTATGGGACCACGAAGCGCTGCACTGGGTGGACGAGACGCATGTGAACTTTGCCACTGGGGCCTTCGGTGGAAATCCCTTTGGGGCCACGAAGCGCTGCACTGGGTGGGGGAGACGCATGTGGATGGTGCCATTGATGCCTGCGGTGGAGCTTCTAATGGCGCCACGAAGCGCTGTACTGGGTGGGGGGGACGCATGCGGACGGTAGCACTGGGACCTTTGGTGGAGCTCCCTATGGGGCCACGAAGCGCTGCACTGGGTGGTGGTGGGGGGGGGGCGCACGTGGGCGGTAGCTCTGGGACCTTCGGGCTCCATTTGGGGCCACGCAACGCTGTACTGGGTGGGGGGGGGGACGCATGCGGGCGGTAGCACTGGGGCCGTCGGTGAGGTTCCCTATGGGGCCACGGAGCGCTGCACTGGGTGGGGGGACGCATGCGGACGGCAGCAACAGGACCCTCGGTGAAGCTCCCGATGGGGCCACGAAGCGCTGCACTGGGTGGGGGGGCGCACGTGGGCGGTCGCTCTGGGACCTTCGGTGGAGCTCCCTAGGGGGCCGCGCAGCGTATGGGAGCGTGCCGAAATTGGACAATGATGCGGAGAGCAGAGGCAGGGAGGGCAAGGAGGAAGGAGGGGGACACCATAAGTTAGACCACCACCTGTGTCCGATTCTGTGCGTAAAAAACCATACGCGGAAAGGGTGGAGCATCATCCGGACAAAGTCAAGGGAAAGACGAGAGCAGCGTTCAGAACGTGCAAGTGTGGATAGGAGCGGACGGGGGGGTCTGGAGGACGGGGAGGCTGCCGAAGGAGAAGGAGGAGGAGCAGCAGCAGCAGCACGAGCAACAGGCAGCGCAGAAGGAGGGGGGAGTGAGGAGGGAGGAGACGGGAGAGGAAGGAGGCAGGGGAGGGGGGTGCGCGAGGAGGACGAGCAGCAGCAGCACGGGGACGAGAGGTGGTCAGGAGCGGGGGGGGAGGGATGAGCACAGCAGGAGCAGGAGCGGGCAGGGGGGGAGGCGCCTCCGAGGGCGCCTGCAGGCCAGCGGCCGTCGCAGCCTCGAAGACCTCCTGGAGGCGCCCTGCCTGACGGGGGGGGGCCGCAACAACAGAAAGAGAGAGGGAAAGAGAGAGGGCGAGAGAGAGAGAGAGAGCGAGCGCGAAATAGAGCTAGGGAGAGCAAAAGAGAGCAAGAGGAGAGAGAGAGAGAGAGAGAGAGCGAGAGCGAGCGAGAGAGAGAGAGAGAGCGAACGCAAAATAGAGCAAGAGAGAGAGAGAGAGAGAACAAAAGAGAGCAATGCATAGAGCAAGAGAGAAAGAGAGAGAGAGAGGAAGAAAGAGCAATGCAAAACAATATAGACAAAGAGGAAATCAATCGAAAGCAAAAGAGGGCAAAATATCGCAAAAGAGAGCAGGAGAGAACGAGAGAGAGAGAGAGGGGGAGACAGACACTGAGAGAGAGGGGGAGAGAATATTGGAGAGAGGAAGAAGGGGAGAGGGAGGGAGGGAGGGAGGAGGAAGAACGAAAGGAGAGAGACGAAGGAGGAGTCAGCTTCGAGAGCCTTGTGAACCAAATCTCTTGAGAATCCGCCTCCACACACACACACACCAGGATGAGAGATGAGCGAGTGCGATAGCAGTATAAACTGTAGATGGCGCGCTGCGCAGAATGCCAAGGAGACGCGAGTGAAGCCATAGACGAGGGCCAGATACATGCGGCAGCGCAGTATGTAGGCCATGGCAAATACCTCGACCCCCCTGGGAGCTCCACCGTGCTAAGCATCTCCACCCCGGGACAGGCACGAGCCCTGCATGCCATGTCGGTCGAGTCTGGCCGGCGTCGTGACGCTCGCCGCAGGGCACTGCATGCAATTCCAGAGATGGGGCTCATGGCTCATCGCGATCCTTGGCTAGGGAGCCACACGCGAACCCTACCCCTACCCCCCCCCCCGATTTCTGGGGGGGAGAGTGGGGTTCACTTCGCTTGCGAGCTCCCGAACGAAGTGAACCCCCCCCTCCCCCTCAGAAATCGTGGGGGGTAGGGGTAGGGTTCGCGTGTGGCCCCGTATTGGCGACGTCCTCCCCTTTCTCTTCCGAGGTCCCGCCGTCACCCTCGGCAAGTTCCCTCCCAGGGTCGACGGGCGGGTCCGGGCGGCTGCCCTGGCGGTCCGTCTGGCGTGTGCCCCCCACGCGAGGGATCTTTTGGAGGAAACATAAAGAATGCTCAACAACAGCATCTGGCCGAAAAACCGACAGTGGCAGCGGATAGTGGTGCAAGAGCCGGATAGCAGAAGTCATCAGCCACATGCGTGGACCAGAGTGTGAGAGAAAGGCGGCAGTGGCAGCAGCTAGTGGAGCAAAACCTGGTTGCCAGACCCCATCAGCCACAGGAGGGAACCAGCGTGTGACAGAAATAGCAGCAGCGGCAGCAACTGGTGCAAGTGCTGGATACCGCACGTTATCAGCCACAGTATTCGGACTGACCTAAGGAACGATAAATAAGGAACGAAACCCCTTTTTCCAAGTAAGTCTACGAAGTCCGACGGAACACTAGGGGGGCTCGCCGCCAAAAAGGTAGCGGAACGCATGCAAACCAAAGGATCGACTGAGCCCCTTTTGGAAAGCAAGTGTTCCTTATGCAACCCGGATCCTGGACATGCTGGGCCCAGCGTGTGCGAGCAGAGTCGGACCCCCTCGAGATGGCCGAGCGGGCGGGCGAGGGCTTCCTCGCGAGGCGCCAGACCATCGAACGCCGTCAGTGGCAGCAGGCAGTTGTGCGAGAAGACCCAGCAGTGGCACCAGGCAGTGGTGCGAGAAGAAAAGGAGTGGGCAGTGGTGCAGTGGCAGGGGTGCAGCACGCAGCGGCAGCAGGCAGCTGACAGTGGTGCAGCAGGCTGTGGTGCCCGCCATACATACCGGGCCCTGGTAGGTTTCTGCCGCTCGATATTCGTACGTATTCGGACGACTGAGATACGCGAGCATGACGAGGAGAAGGAGGGACCAAGAACAGCACATGCGCGAAGAGGCGGCAGTGACAGCAGACAGAGGCGACAGCGACAAGGCTCACAACTACTAAAAGGAGAGCGACGGGTCCGAGAGCTACCATGAGGAGAGCGATTGCAATAGCTACCACGACGAAGGCGATGGAGATTATGAACTCCTGCGGGTGGCCATCGAAAAGGCAGCCAAGGCAGGCAACTGCGACCTCGTCAGGCCCCTGCTGGCAGACAGGCTCCGACAAGAGCCGGCAGCGGCTGCAGGCAGAGGAGAGACTGGAGGCCAGAGGTCATCGGATACCTCCGCGGGCCAGCGCGTGCGAGAAGAGCCAGCTGGGGCAGCCAGCAGCAGCGAGAGAGCTGGATGCCAGACAATATCGACTACATGCGTTGGCCAGCGGGGGCGAGAGGGGCCCGCAGTGGCGGCGGACAGTTGCGCCACGGAGCGGAGCGGGGGCGGCAAGAGCTCTAACCGAGACGCCAGGGTGTACGGTGAGGACCTGGCCTACGTCGGAACCTCTGCTACGATGCTGACTGGCGCGTCCTGAAGGACCGCATGGCGTAGGCAGGCACGGTGGAATAGTGCGGAAGGATCACCGAGGACGGGACCGCCTACGAAGGGTCGATGGGGTGCGGGCAGAGGCGCTTCACCACCGATGCTGAGTTCCAGCAGGCCATCGCCACTTTCGCCGAGACGGAGCTCACGGGCCCGAGAATACGTACCAGGCGGTACCAGATGTCATGAACCACTGCATGTTGTACTTAGGTTTGCATCACACGTGGACCAGCACAAACAAGAGTGTTGTGAGTACAGGGAAACGGCCGAGGGGCCGTGCCTGTACAGGGTCCGTAGGCAGAGGCGAGGAGTGGAACTCCTTTTCCAGGGCACTGCGCAGCAAGCAGTGATTCAAGGACAGTTAGCCAGTATCTGAGCCAATACAGTTGCGGAAAGGATGTAATAGGGAAGTGAGCGGATTTCACACGCGTGTGGGAATACCTGGCAGTGGCAACGAGCTGGTACCGCACACCGTGAGCTACATGCACGGACCAGCGCGTGCGAGAGCCGCCGGCCAGTGGAGCGGAAAAAGCGGCATCGCGGGCGGTGCGCGGCCATCGGCTGCGCTCTCAGGTCGTGGAGTCAAGGGATGGCAGTCATGGCCGTGAGTAAGTAGAAGTAAGGCGGGAGGAGGAGGAGGAGGAGGAGGAGGAGGAGGAGGAGGAGGAGGAGGGACAGGAGGAGGAGGAGGAGGAGGAGGAGGAGGAGGAGGAAAGGGAGGAGGAGCTAGGGATGGCGAACGCCGCGCTGGGGGGCGGGCGGGGCGCCTCACAGGAGATGCGGAAAAACTGCGCCAGCGCGTAAGGGGGCACCTGAGGGCGGGGCCCGGGCGAAAACGGCTCCGAAGGGGGCTTGGACTGCCGCCCCATGGGCCCAAGAGGTGCTGAGAAGGTGCCAGGGCAGAAAGCAGCAGGAAGCAGAGCAGGCGGAGGCAGGAGGAGGAGGAGGAGGAGGCGGGAGAGGAGGAGGAGGAGGAGGAGGAGGAGGAGGAGGAAACGGCGGAGGAGCAGGAGGATGAAGGAGAGGAGGAGAAGGAGGAGGCGAAAGAGGAGGAGGAAGAAGCGGAGGAAACGGAGGAGGGAGGAGGAAGAGGACGAGGAGGAGGAAAATGAGGACGAGGAGGAGGAGGAGGAGGAGGAGGAGGCGGGGGAGGAGCTGGGGGAGGAGGAATCGAAGGAGAAGGAGGAGGAGGAGGAGGACGACGACGACGAGGACGAGGAGGACGAGGACGAGGAGGAGGAAGAAAAGGAGGAGAGAACAGGAGGAGGAGGTGGAGAGTGAGAAGGTCGACGCAGCCAGCCTGAGGGCAGAGGGAGCAGAGGAGCAGGCTGCCGGCGGGGAGGAGGACGAGGAGGACGAGGAGGCGGAGGAAAACTAGGAACCTCAGGAGCAGAGGAGGCGGAGAGGAGGCGGCGAGGGCGCCGAGGTGCTCGGAGCCCGGCTTGAGTTGGCGGAGGCAACGGCCAGAAGGAGGACGAAGGCGGAGGACGAGGGCCGAGGCGCCAGGAGGCCAGCTTGAGCGAGGCGGGCTTGAGCAGAAGGTGCCGGGGCGCCCGGAGACTGGAGAAGAAGGATGAGGCCAGCTTGAGGAGCACGCGGCGGAGGCGGAGAAGGACAAGAAGAGGAGGCTGAGGGCGCGGAGGAACAGGTCGAGGCTGAGCAGGAGGAGGAGGAGGAGGAGGAAACGGCGACAACGCCAGCGACGACACGACGACCAACCCCCGTCCCCCGTCCCTGTCCCTTCCGCCCCGCCGGGGCCGCTCGCCCGCGCTGATGCGCTGCTCTCGTTTTATATCACCCTTCCCCCCCGCCTGGGTCAGGGGCCGTTGCCCGCAGGCCGTGGGGGTGTATAGCATTATTCGGATATTACTGCGCCCTTACGCGCCCGACCCTGGTGGCCACCCATCCTGAGAAGGGATGGGTGCTGGGGTCGCGGTGAATTTTTTGCCAGGAGCAGCAGGCAGCACAAGCAAAAGGAAACCTGAGATTCAACGCCTGGTGAAACAGACCTCCCCCACTGCGAAAGGAGGTTGAGGGTGTGAGGGCACTGTGCCCAGTGTACCCTTCACCCCAGGAACTGACACCGCACCCGGGAGGCAATCCCTGAGGCGCTGCAGAGAAGTGCACTGCGCCTTAACGAGATCATGTCGACCATATGGGTCGACTTCACACAAACCTATGAGAAACCCCAGATTCGCAGAGAACGTATACCGTCCATATTTACTACAAAAACAATACGAGCCTTTCTCCTACAAGTCGTGGGAGGCGTGAAGCATCTTACCAAGAGATCCCACGCCTTCGAGACACCTCGGCACGTCCGATCCGCAGACGTCCAGACAAGAGCCTCCTCTATGGGCGGAAGCCTCAAAACTTACCCGGGAGCACAACAGCTCTTGGCCTCCTTCCTCCGCCTCCACAAGTCAGGGCATCCAACTCCCCCGCGGGCCCTTCAGCCCCAATTTCTGCAGCAGGAGGCTCTTAGGTGGGACCGGGGGGGGCGGGACCGGGGCAGGCAGCCCCTATAGGTAGGCCATGACGGAGGAGGTGCTGGAGAGGACCAGCTTGCCACACCCGAGACAGCGCCAGCCCGCGCCCATGGCCTGAAAACGGTGGGAGGAGGCTGCCGCTGCCGCCTCGCGCCTCTTAATCCGCCTCTCATCGGGCGGCACTGGCAAGGGCTTGACGTCTCGGAGCGGCACGGGAGAACATGAGGCAGCAGCAATTGACAAGCTCGTGGTGCGGAGAAGAACCGCCTCAGCGTTGGCGGCGAGGTCGAGAGCTCTCTTGCAAACATCCAGGGCGGTCTGGCAAAGCTCACACCTAGACTCCGCAAGGCCGTCCGCTACAGAGTTGATGAACATAGCCCCAGGGGGAATACCTGCAGCTAACCTCTGAAATTTAGCCTCATCTTCGGCCAAGTGGGACGGCACATGCTGGAGCTCAAAACTACCTGAACGCACGCGCAGGAGAGCATTCAGCTCATGCAACAAATCCGCGTGCTCTAATTTAAAGCAATGGTATTTCCCTTTGCTGAGGGATCGAACATGATTAATGCGATCACACCCGGTGAAGAGATCCGCAGGAGGGTCGACAACCCTAACGCACTCGACAATAGCACACAACCCGGCCCTCGGCACAGACTGCTCAGGGCTGTCGCCCACACCGGCGCACCCCGAGTCCTAACCTAGGCCATCAAGACCTTCAGGATCCAGGCGCGAAAAGGCCCAAGACACCCGCCGAAGAAGTGAGCTCTTTGACCAAATCACCCCTGGACCATCGCCCCCATGAATGCCCCCAGGGAGGTGCGTGCCTTAAGGCCGTCGAATCCAGACATGGCCATTGGACGAGGGAGGAGGAGGGAGCTCCAACCAAGCAAGGGGGTCCAGTCCACGGCACCAGAACACTGGGCAACTACCAACCTCCTGGGGGGCTTCGGGGATCGGACGGTTGGTGGCCGCGACTTCAGGCGGGAGCCTGACTGCCTACTTGGAGAGCCCATGCCTCGTCATACGCGTTAAACTGGCAGCTCCAAATCTACAAGAGCTGGACTCTGGAGCCGCCTTGCACCTCTGGCAGTACGGATCCGAGCGACAGCCTGCCTCGAACCTACGCTGGTCAGCCCAATAGCCCCCGCAGGCAATGAGACGGACCACACGTGCCATCGCGAGATTATCATCGGCCTCCAGCCTGGAGGCAAGGAGGGCAGCATGCTGCCACCAGACCCCAGTTCCTGAGCCAGCTCCATCAAGGTGCTTAGCTCGCCCCTCGCTCCCAAATCGAGGTTTCCACAGAAGCCCCCAGGGCGTCAAGAAGGCAAGAGGGGGGAGCCAGGCCAGCATCTTGAAGGGCCCATTCGTCACCACTGGGCTCCCCAAGCTGATGATCGACGGGCAGCTCAGACCGAGGTCCAAAATTGAACCTTGAAATGCACCTAGGGGTCCGCGAACTAAATTCCAATCGTTTTTTTAACACTCTCGAGAGACTCCGACCACACCGCATCGATAGCAACTAGCTCAGGGAGACGAAAAACCCTAGCGAACCAAGCTCCGACGAGAGGCCTGATGCACACTATAGCAGGGCCACGGCTACAGCCCAAACTGATTCGAACAGCCGTGGCGGCGCAAGTGCCTCTCTGCGGGTACTTGCTGCTCAGCCGCGCCTGTCCACGGAGCTGCTCGACCATCCTAGGGGCCAGCCCATGGACTTCGGGGGCCCAGGCAGCTTTCAGAAATTCGTCGGAGAAGCATGCAGGCCTCGGAACAAATTGGCGAATATCCATGCCACATTCGTCCGCCAACGCCCCCCTCCCCCCCCCGGTGCTCGAAGTTGGCGGCGGGCCCGATGACGCGCACTTCGACCGCAGTCTCCCCCGCGCGTGCCAGGGATGAGCAGGAGGAGGAGGAGGAGGAGGAGGAGGAGGAGGAAGAGGAGGAGGAGTTGGAGGAGGAGGTGGAGGAGGAGGAGGAGGAGGAGAGGAGGAGGAGGAGGAGGGAGGAGGAGGAGGTGGAGGAGGAGGGAGGGAGGAGGAGGAGGAGGAGGGAGGAGGCCGTAAGTGTCTCCCCCTGCCGCAGCTCCGATGACGCAGGAGAGGCCTTAAGCAGACCAGAGCTCCGGAGAGAGCCGCGCGCCGGCCCCTCGAAGGGCACGCCTCCTAAACCTCGTGGAGGGGCCTGGGACACGCCAATGAATGCAGACGGAGGAGAGGAGGAGGAGGAGGAGGAGGAGGAGGAGGAGGAGGAGGAGGAGGAGACGACGAAGGAGGAGGAGGAGGAAGGAGGAGGCGGCGGAGGGGGGGAGGAGGAGGAGTGAGGAGGAGGAGGAGGAGGTGGAGGAGGATGGAGGAGGAGGAGGAGGAGCAGGAGGAGGAGGGAGGAGGAGGAGGAGGAGGTGGAGGAGGGCGGAGTGGAGGAGGAGGGAGGGAGGAGGAGGAGGAGGAGGAGGAGGCCGTAAGTGTCTCCCCCTGCCGCAGCTCCGATGACGCAGGAGAGGCCTTAAGCAGACCAGAGCTCCGGAGAGCCGCGCGCCGGCCCCTCGAAGGGCACGCCCTCCTAAACCTCGTGAGAGGGGCCCTGGGACACGCCAATGAATGCAGACAGAGGAGGAGGAGGAGGAGGAGGAGGAGGAGGAGGAGGAGGAGGAGGAGGAGGAGGACGACGACGAGGAGGAGGAGGAGGAGGAGGAGGAGGCGGCGGAGGAGGGGGAGGGGGAGGAGGAGGAGGAGGAGGAGGAGGAGGAGGAGGAGGAGGAGGAGGAGGAAGAGGAGGGGGAGGACGAGGAGGTCCCGCATTCCCCCTGTTTTCTGGGGTTTTGTCTCCCCCCACCTCCCATATTTTCCTACGTTTTCCAAGGGATCGGCGATCGATCGTGTCGGTGTGCTTTTCCCCCTCCTGACCTTGACCGACCTAAAGGCGCCCATGGTGGCGTCGTGGCCCAACTCTCGGGCCGCGGTAGCCGGGCCTGGCTGAGGAGCTTCTCCCACGGTTTCCTCCGCCCAGCAGGCAAGCTCGTGGCGGGCGTTGGACGAGGAGGCCATCAGATAACATTTCGGGAGCGCTAGCACACACACACACACACTTACGCGTGCGAAGGTCCTGAAGAAGAGCACGCAAGACGATCGGAAAACCAATTCCAATAGAACATTCCGAACCAAGGAGGCGGAAAAAGAGATGTCGTCCACACCCATTCCCGACACCTGGGCCCTGGAGCCGAATTTTTAGTAGCCTCCAAAGGCGCATGCAAAGACGAACGGGCCTGGGAGGCAGCTTGGCCACAACCCGCCAAGATCCCACCCCCAGGAAGGAGTCCTGGGTGG